GGATTTTTTTCCTCCAAGGAAAGCAGCCTAACACTTGTTATTAAATATGTCTGACTGAACAAGCTTTTTTTAAAAAAAAAAAATGGGTAAGAGTAAGTCTGAAAGGTCTGAATGTCTGGGTAAATGCTACCCTGCCATGCCGATGGGGCCGTCGACAAGCAGAATAAGCAGTTGCAGAGTACAGGGAAGAGTCTGGAGTGGGTTAGAGGCAGTTGCTGTCTTCCACCCCTAAATTAACGCTATGGCTGCTAATTGCCAAGTGCAATTAACTGTTCTGTAGAGTCCCTTTCTCCTCCCAGCCCAAGCAGTCAGCCAGCCAGGGCTGGGTCCTCTTGCACACCTTTAGTGTTTTTTTCCCGGGTGAGAACATAGCTTCTACCATTATGTTGGGAGAGAGAATTTTTTCATGGCATGTGAAAATGAGCATTCCCTTATGACTAATGTGCTCTGACTCAGTACTATTACACGGCCTCTTGTTTTCATTCAAGAACTTTCCCTTGGAGGCTTTTTTTTTTCCCCTCCCCTAAAATCTGTTGACTTTTAAAAAAAAAAACCAAAAACCAAGGCAGGTCAAAATCCCTGCGGGTTCAAGCACTTCTTAAACCAGCGGAGAGCTGGGGAGAAGAGGAGGTAGCTCAGGATGGGAACCACTGATGCCACCCACGCCTGTGAACTGGGGTCCGTGGGACCGGGAGCGGTGCCTGCAGGTAGGGGAACCTTCTTGGGTCGAGAGGGATTTTGCAGGAGCAGGCTGACAGCTGCTTGTTGTCTCTGCCGGGCTTTGAGGAGTGCTTACACCCGGTGGGTTTTCTGACAGCATTTAATATTTTTTCATCTCTTTGTTCCACTGCAGTGCGTAATTACTTGAGCAGGATAAACAGCAGGTTCTTAAATGATTTCAGGAGGGGAGAGAGGGGAAATTGAAGTGCTCTGAAAGGAGGAAAAGAGTTTTAAAATGTTTTGCCAACGGGCAGAGACACAGCTTTTGGAAACGATCAGCGCTGGCAGAGCTCTGCTTCCATTGTCCTTCCAGCACTTCTTTAGGTGGTGTCTCAAAGCAGTGGCGATCGCCCTTTGGCAGGGCTTCAGGCTGATTTCTGAAGGCCATAAAAAGCTTCTGCTGGTGGAATATAAAGACACTTACAGGGAGCAAGAGGGCTGTAGGGTGCAAAATATAAATGATGCTTCAAAGGGCTCGTGTTGGCCTTCACAGTGATCGATCCAAGCAGAATGGGACTCCTGGATCCATCCTGGCAGGTTAACTGGATTGCATTACTTTTGGATGAGATACAACTGCTTAAATCCTTTTACTGCTGCTTTCTGAGTGCTCAGAGATTCATTTTAGCCAGGTACAAACCGAAGCCCAGCTTGGTACAAGCAAAGAGCGCCGGGAGAGCCAGGATGAGTGAGAAAGCACCTCCTGCATCCCCCTGAAACGCAGACAGGACAGAAAGCAGTGACTCAGCGTGGGGAGGACAGAAATGCTCTGTTCTGCTCATCAGATAAGTAGTAAAACCACTGGCGTGGGATTTTCTCCCATGGATCTGCCTGATAATTAGCAATAGGAGCTGGCTGGGATGCTTTAACTCTCACCGACTGCCAGGGTTTCTTTAGCCTTTTCCCATTTTTGCTGCTGGAGCAGGGTTACAGGACAGGCTTTTTCTGCTTTGCAGTCTGGGGGTGGTTATTCCCAGCCCACCGTTCCCTTGCCATAAGAGCAAAATCTTCATCCGTGGCAGGTCAAGCTTGAAGGGTTATTTTGATGGCGACTTGCCTTTTGGGGGTTGAGTTTATTGCTGGTCTTCTTCTTTTCCTTAAGAAAAATACCACAGCATGGGTGTGAAAGCTTGGAGAATGATTATTTCTTAATGCTCAAACGTTTAGAAAAGGAGGATCTAAGATGTATTTGAATATTTATGATATTATCAAGTGGTCTGGTAAGACTAGACAAAACTCGGTGCAGCTTCTCCATCCTCGGACCTGTGCAGGTGGGTGCTATTTGAGGCATCGAGGGATTTCCCTGCTCCTCCTGCCTTTTTAAAACGGGCTTTGGAGCTGCTTTTCTAAGCCCCAAGCTGGTTTTGCACCTGTGATTAACTTGCTCTGTTGTGCTGTTCCCAAGCCAGCTCCAGAGTATTGAAATTGGAATTTAATAATTGGGATGGGAGAAAAAAAACCTTTGGCATTCATTCCTGCATTTCTCAGCTGACTTTTTCCAGCAGGTTTTGGATGTTATTTATAAGGTAAATAAAAGCTGTTGGGAAACACACACAATCTTTGTTTCTGAACCTTAATAACACAACAGATGTCTTGGGTGACCCTGTCAGCCGTGGCTTATGTTCGGCCTTGTCACCCGCAGGTGTCCTGTTGTACCTGATCTGGATGCAAATGCACTTCTGTTTGGTTCTTTAGCACGTTTTTATGGCGTGAAACACCTTCTGCTCCACCTGGTTAGACGTGCTGCTCTGTTTTCCCAAGCCGTGAGATAGAGACTGACCCTCCTTCCTCCAACCTCCCCGGCTCAAGCGAAACCGCATCCCGAGGTTGGAGTACTGGCAGCCTTTGGCTTCCTGCCATGCTGTGTCAGGATGGAAATCGGCACATACGCTTCACCACGATAGATGGTTTTGCTTGGAAAAGACCCAACCCTCTGCTTTTAAATTATTTATTTTAGTGCAGCCCTGCTTTTTTTTTTTTTTTAAATTTTTCCAATCCTTAATCTTTGGGAATTTGTGTATTATGTGCTGCGTAACACCATTTGCTGGCAGCAGCAGCGCTTGTGTCACAGCGTTTGGGTTTCAGCCTTTCTCTGTCACAACATTGACTCGAAGAAGGATTTCTGACGTGGGAAAACATGCGGAGCATCTGTTAGGATGATAACTGAAGGTTTAATTTCATGTGGTTTGTACCGGAGATTGACGGCCCCTAGGATTTTCTGGAGCTGCTTCATCAGGGAATCTGACAAAAGTGAAGAGTAAGGCTGTTGAGCGTAATATTTCTGAGCATGAATTAGTTGTCATGGCAAGCTTCTCCGCTCCACGTCTCCGCCGTCTGCTATTCCCACGGCTCTTTGGCTTGGTGTATGCCAGGGTGGGAAAACCCTGGGTTTAGCTGGGAAAGACGGTAGAGTTTGCATTGCCAGGAGTTTGTAACAGCTTCATTTACTCCTGATAGCTGGGGAACTTAAATTCCTTTCAGCCGTGTTTTCTGTGATATTAAGCGTTTGGTAAAAATAAAATACGATGGTTTGTGACCAACGTAAACCCAAGTACCTTGCACTAAGGATGTTGGACAAGAAGCTGTGTCTCATCTTCCCTCTTGAGGAGTAAAACTACCTCCTGCCGGTAGATCTGGGACCTGGGGATGACTGGGCAGCCTCTGCCTCGTGGCGTCAGGAGAAACTCATGCTGTGCGATGTACGAGCTTAGAGCTCGCCCTGGTTTGCGTCCTTCCATGCGACCTGCCGTGCCAGGGAAAGGAAAAAAAAAAAGGGAATTTGTGATTGCAGTTTGTGGGGGAAAAAGGTCTCCGTGCCGCCCTGGTGAGCTGTTGTTTCGGTGTGAGCTATCACAACGCAGTTGCATCCCCTCATCTTCACCCAGAGGCATTGGAAGGGAAAGCTGGATGCTGTCCCCAAAACAGGTCGGCTGCTTCCTAGGAAGTGGTGTTGTGGGATTTGTTGTGCAGCGACGGGCATGGGTTTAGCTGCAGACCGTGCCAACTGGCCAAACTGGACACCGCCGCTCGTTAGGATGGATTTATTTCGCACTGTGTTTCTGTCACCAGTGCGTTACCTTACACTTAAGATGTTCTGGATAGCTGAGGATAGGATATCTGATATTCCAGCCCTTCAGCGGCAGTAAATCTGGGGGGGGTGCCTTTCCTCACCTCGGGTCAGAAAGCAACGGCGTGCAAGCATTTAAAATTAAAAAGAGTAAAAAGGGGGGTGTTAAGGGAGAATGGGGCAGGGATTTTTCCCCCCTTTGCGCTGCTGAGAAGCTGCTTGGGGTAAAGCAGGCTCGCTGGCAAAACTGGTTTTGCAGGGAAGGAGGGGCTGCTTGGATCCTGTCTCCCATCGGGTTGTTCCTGGTGCCGTGGGGATCCCTTTCCCCATCACTGCCCTGCCCCATGGCACAGCCGAGGCCAGCAGTGCAAGACTCCGATGCCTCCCCCTGCCCAGCAAGGGGCTGCGATTCCTTTCTGCTCTCTGGTACCGTAGGTGGGCGACGGGAGGTCTGAGAACGGTGAAGTGGCTTGGGAAAATGTTGTGCCAGTGGAGAATGGCTTGTTCCTAACATGCAGCCTGCTTCAAAGCTTTGCAAAAACCACGTCCTTGGCTCGGAGGTTGCAGGGGTAGAGCTTGGTGACCTTCGGGTTAACGGGTGCGGGTGCCTGTCTCATGCTCTTAATTTTCTTCAACGTTCCTGTTGTCTCTTTATTTTCTTCCCCCTGTGAAGCTCTGAAGTGGAATGCCATGGCCAGTTCCTCAGACAGTGACGATGACGGTTTCATGGCTGTGGATCTGGAAGACGCTGTGGTCGAAGGGACGATGGAGCAAGACGATGAGCCGCACGCTGAGCTGGAGGTCGAGGAGACCAGGCATAACAGATCAATGTTGGAGCTCCCAGAAGAGGTTTTGGAATATATCCTCTCCTTCCTTTCACCCTATCAGGAGCACAAAACTGCTGCCCTTGTCTGCAAACAGTGGTATCGACTAATCAAAGGTACAAACAGCTGTAGTGAGTGCATTTTTTTTAACTGTGGGATCATAGATTGATATCCTAGCTGCTCTTTGCTTTGCTTTAGCCTTGTTTTTCCCTCCCTTTAACTTCCACAAAATGGCAGTAAGATGTCTACGGCTGCTGTGTCACTTGCTTTGCTGAATTCACCGCTAATAACAGTGCAGAACTGAGCCCCTCAGCCTCTTCTGAAGTACAAAAGAGCCAAACCCCAAAGCCTCCACGGGAGAGCTGCTCCCGTACGTGGCTTTTGAAGGCTCCCTTGTGCCGCTGGCACGTAGCGCTGCTGCTTCCTCCCTCTCCACCACGCAGAGTCCCCCGCTGCCCGCCTCTAACGTGGCTGTAATTGTGCTTCGATTGCGTCTTGCTCAGTAATCAGCATTCCAAAAGCTCGTTCATTCGGCTGGAAACGAAACCGTGCCTGGTTCTTACAGCTCTGCTGAAGATAAGTGGTATATAAATCTACATTAATATAGATCTGCATATTCACGCTTCCTGAAAGAGTAGCCCTGAGACACAGATACTTCACGTTACCTCTGTGCAGCGTTAATTCCTTATGGGGATGTTTTAGTGCCGGATAGAGATGATACGACAAATGGACAGGGAAAGCGTGGGCAAGGGTATGAGCGAAACTATCTGCTTCGCTCTTTTTTTAATACCTTGGATGGTTTCTGTGATGTTTCTGTTGGGGACGTGCATTTTGATTGCAGACTTCATTAAAATCAGGCAGCTCGAGAGGAGACCACAGTTAAATCCGTAGGAAACGAGGCACGCCGCTGCACCAGGGTAACTTGTTTCTTCTGGAAAACGCGGAGCGGGTGTCGGATGAGAAACGCCTTTGGCAGGCGTGTGGGGTGACGTCTAATTTGTAGACTTCTCTGCGCATGGGAAAGCATTGCTGGGATTCCAGGCATTTTCCGCCTTGCCCGGGGTTTTGCAAGCTGGAGGTTAAAAAAACATCGGTACAGAAGCGAGCATTGCACAAAATTACTCTTTTTGCATAATTTCGGGTCAGCAGCAGCCCGCACCCCTGTTGAAAACTTTTTCAAGTGTCCATGGCCCTTGAGTCACTGTTTGGGTGTGCTTGTTCCTGGAGTGGACCTAAGAGATGCAAAGGATGCAGCTGGAATGAACGAGCACCTGGTGATTCACCCCAAAGGAGAGTGTGGGAAACATCCCTGGAGGGAGGGATGACATGGCATTGGAGTGAGTTGTCCGAGTCTCAGGTCTTGGGGGATGAGTGCTGCTGGGCAGCCGGGCCATTTTTGTGGCAGTTAGAACAAAACCAGTGGGTGTAATTGCCAACCTGCTCGCCACAAAGCAGAGAGGTCACTCGAGGTAAACACTTGATTTGTTTTCCTCTGGTTTATTTTTCCTGTTTGTCAGGATACATCTGCTACGAAATCCTGTAGTTCGGATTAAGTTTTGTGAGTCTCGAGGACCAGCTGCTTGAGGACCTCAGGCTTCATTCTTTTTAAAAAAATAAAAAGCTTCCTGCTTTATATCCCAGAGTGTGATTTCTTGCTGGAGGTATTCCTGGCACCACAGGGCTTCCAGTCAGCAAATCCTTGGGAAAAAATCTTGGCAGGCTTGCAGCATCCTCAGCGTGAGGGCTGCTGTGGCAGAGCGGATGCCACCGAGCATCTGCTGAACTGCTGCCATCAGAAATCTTCACCAGACCCTTTTCTTTCCGTGGGGAGAGTCTCTGGCCCTTTTCGGCACACGCGCAGGCACGTGTACTCCAGACACGGAATGGATTGCAGCTCTGGGGCTGGCCTCCTCCACGGAGGACCTGTTGTCAGCCAGATCCTCTCCCTCACACCCTGAGCAGTGTTTTCACCTAGGACATGCTGACTTTTATCACTGCTTACCCCTCTTGTATTTATTCTACGTTCCAGCGCAGTAATTGCGCGCACACTCTTAAAAACTCATTATTGTGCATTATTTGCCCTCAAAAGTTCATTAAGGGAAGGGCAGTTGCTGCTCTGGGGTGTGATTAGGGGACAGCAGGGGAGGCTGAAAAGCAGCTCTGCGAAGGCATCGCACGCGCTTAAAGGCTTTGCTTTACCGGGCTGGAGCCGACAGATATCGGAAACGCAGTGAATCGGTTCTTTTTTTTGCAAACGCTGCTGATTTTCCACGTTCGCAGACTCCCTGTTCTTTATTCTCTTTAATCCCCCGAATTTCCACCAGCCTATTTATGACCTAAATACGGGGGTGCTTTTGTAATTGCCGACACGCTGCTTTTGCAACTGCCAGCACGGTTCGCTCCTAACGTGCCCCAAATTTTGCTGACGTCCTGTCTTTCTCTAGGTGTGGCCCATCAGTGTTATCACGGCTTTATCAAAGCAGTGCAAGAAGGAAATATTCAGTGGGAGAGTCGCACTTACCCCTACCCCGGCACCCCCATCACACAACGCTTCTCGCACAGTAAGTAGCTCCTGGGAAAAGCTCCGCTCACCCCTCTTTGGCTCGGATTTGCAGAGGAAAGCTGGAAGGAGGGGTTTGCACCGCGGCGCTCGGGGCGTAGCGGCGACGTGCGGCTCTGCCGACGCGCGCGCTTGGCACAGGAGTAAGGGATTCGGTAGCTGCTCGCATGGGTATTGGCTCGTTGCTCCTGGGATGTGTTAATGGAGCTGGGCTGGGGGTTTTGCTCTCTGGTTTGGAGGTTTTCCATACAGGCTTCTTCCCGCAGCTCCCCTTCCAGCCTGAGCTTTTGTCCCCTTCGATAGCTTGCTTAGCCACTAGGCTCGAGTCCTTGCCATCAGAGCCGATGAGTTTGTGTAGCTGCAGCGCTGAGGGGTGCACGTCCTCTTCTACGATTGGGAGTGATCAAGTTTAGAGGGGGCTGAGGATGGCTCGCTTCAAAATCAACCACGGAGCTGCACATGGGAAGCATCGAGACCATCAGAGCCGCTGACAGAAACAAGCAATTCAGTCGATGGTGCCACCTAACATACGGGTGGAATTTTGCCCTGCTTCCAAGTCTGGGCAAGAGAACAGAAAAAGTGTTTCTGTTGAGGGAATGATACTTAAATAAAACATGTTCTTTGTACGGCATCGAACTGCCTCAGCCTGGAGTCAAGTATGACAAATCCTGGGTCCTTGTGACGCCTTCGCTGGGTTTGAGCCCTGTGGGAGACTGTTCTTCTGGGGAGGAAATTTCATTTTTCTCAAGGTAAACACACGTGGTGTAAGCAGTGCGGTTCCAAGAGCAAGCAGGTGTAAAACTTCCATATTCCCAACTAGTGATTTATGAGGCAACCGATGCGTAGCTGCCTGCCAAGACAAGTCCAGGGGACACTGCGGGAAGCTCTGCTGAAGTCACTCTGCTCTTCAAAGGTTTCCCTGTCCTAAAGAATGAAAAAGGCCCCACGCTTCACGGCTTGTTTTAAGTGGCCATGTTAATAAAGCACTTATTAATGACTTGTAGATTTGCCTGTATTTTGCAGCCTTTTTACAACTGGTGAGCTAACTAGAAATCACCTGAAAAATGCCCAAATATTGCACCCAGACTCACTGCGTGCTCTTTAATTTATTCTGCTGCCCAACAGGGGCTTCTTCTGAGCGTGACGCAGTTATGCTCGAGCCAAAACAAGTTGTCTTGCTAAAGCCAGTGCCCTGGGAGCACGTAATCTCTATTAGCCTCGTGATTTGGCAGTGTCCTGGCTCTGGTCAGCCCTCGGTTGCTCCAGAAGCGTTATTGATGCACTTTATGTGCAGAAATCTAATCTGGATTAACTTGTTTGCTGACTTAAACTGATTATTTTTTTTGAGCAGTTCTCCAGATCTGCGGTATCTTCCCTACAACAAAGCGTTGCGTGCTTGTGGGTGGATTCCAATATTAAACCAAAGCTACAAATCATGAAAAGCCAAACTTCAAACTGATTCTGTAAACCTACGACCTACAATGCTAATATGCGGTGAGCTGAGGTGAAGTAAGAACAGGAGGTTTGGGGAGTGAGGGAGGACTCACAAACCCCCTTTTTTAGGCATGAATGATTTGCCAGGTTTTGTGGGAAGGCGTCATCTCCCAGGCACGAGTGGTTTGAAGTCAGCAGGCAGCGGTAGCTGGCATCGAAGGCGTGGATAGGGCTATCTCTCTTCCAGGATTTGTTAGAAACATCCCAGGAGTGTGCATACAGAGAATGAAAGGACAAGCGGGAGAATTTTAAGTAGTTGGAGGTCACTATGTCTTCTATCAATTCTGAAGGGAGTAATAGGAAAACTGCCTGATAAGGAATAATGAATGGATCTGTCGTCTCGTGGGGAGGGAGCGTTTGGCGAGGCCTTTGATCGTACAGCTGATAACAGACTTCATGGATGAGCTGAAGGTTTTGTAAAGGATCTGATTGAAGCTGCAGAACATCGTACAATACCGATAACGCTGGTTTTTAGACCTAAACGTAAAGGCTTGCTGGAAGCGATACTTCAGGCAGAGGTTTTTGAGCTGAACACCGGGTATAACATTTGCAGTAGTCGCCTAATTCTTTTTTAGCCCTAACGTATGAAACTACAGATGTCGTAGCAGGGCGATGACTCACGGGGCTAAATAGCTGGCCGCAATCAGAAAGCGATGT